TTTGATCAGTAGAGTACTTCAGAAGTCACAATGTGGGAGTTTTGAGCTGGCGGATTCCACCTAGTTTTCTTGAAATTCTCACTCCGGAAGAAGTTAGCTGCCACTGAGACATCCAATCACCCTGAGACCACCATACTTAAGGAAGCCCAAATCAGCCACCCTGGAGGCTGTATGGGACACATGCCTGTCCAGTTCTAGGTGTCCCAGCCATCTGAGTGCAGAGGCCACAAATGTGAGGGGAGTCTTCAAATAACTCCGCCCCAGTCACCATTGAACTAACCACATAAGAGGTCACAGACGAGGAGCACCCCCCCCCAACACCACCACAGCTGAACTCTATTAACCCCAGAACCATGGAACACAATAATAAATTAATGATGTTTTTTAAGCACCAGACTTTGGAACTATACTGCCATAGGTAGATTTTCATGCAGGTCTCAATATACAAACTTTGAGAAGTATCATTTTGATTATCAGTCAAAGACATTGGAACACTAATGTTCTCAAACTGTGGATAACTTTAAAAAAGGACACAAAAACTTTAATCAATACTTCACTGACTAGAGCATTTCTAGCATTTTAATATCTCTGTGGTGTGTTCTAGCTACCATCCAATATCTTATCATGCTCTAGTCCTTGGCTTTGTCCTTACAGGAGATATGGAATTTTGGTAGCTTGTGGCTTCCATAGTTGGCTTGACTGTCTATTTGATATAAGATCAATCCTGGATTATATTCTGGCAAATAAAGCAGGCAACAGCATGTGCAAACACTTCTGCCATAGGTTTTCTTCCCCTACCAAGAAAGACATCAATTGTAAAAGATATATTATGTCCAGAGACGATGGCATGCTAACTCAAGGTCTCCCTTACCTGAGGTTTCCCATGGAAATTTCTCTGGAATCCTACAATGCATATATATTGCTATCTTTTGGCAATATCTAGCCTCAAACAATGTATACTACCAATTTCTAGAGGGTTGATATCAGAACTTCTTCCTACCCTCCCTCTGACTTATGTTAGTGTTCCAAGAACAAGTATGGCTTCACCCATGTGACAGGTGATGCAGTTTAGTTTCATGGTTCGAGAAGATATTCTTCTGGATCAATCTAGAGAAGCAATTTACTCACAGATGCAAATGGGATATTTTTCAGAATTAAAAATGTCCCAGGATGAGCTGTTGCAATGTAACCCAGATAGATGGCACATCTTCTTTATCCACTCATCCATTGATGGGTACTTAGATTGTTTCCATGTCTTAGCAACTGTAAATAATGCTGCGATAAACATAGGGGTGCACACTAATCCTTGGAATTTGTATTTTTCTTTTCTTCAGAAAAATACCCAGAAGTGGAATTGCTGGATCATATGATAGTTCTTGGCTTCCCTGATAGCTCAGTTGGTAAAGAATTCACCTGCAATGCAGGAGACCCCAGTTGGATTCCTGGGTTGGGAAGATCCATTGGAGAAGGGACAGGCTACCCACTCCAGTATTCTTGGACTTTCCTTGTGGCTCAGCTGGTAAATAATCTGCCTGCCATGCAAGAGACCTGGATTCAGTCCCTGGGTTTGGAAGATCCCCTGGAGAAGGGAAACGCAACCCACTCCAGTATTCTGGCCTGGAGAATTCCATGGACTATACAGTCCATGGGGTTGCAAAGAGTTGGACACAACTGAGTGACTTTCACTTCACTTCACTTCATGGTAGTTCTATTTTTAATTTTTTTGAGGAACCTCATACTGTTTTTCATAGTGGCTGCAACAATATACATTCCCATCAATAGTACGCAAGAGTTCCCTTTTCTTCACATTCTTGTTAACACTTAGTTGTCTTTTTGATAGCAGTCATTCTGACAGTTGTGAGGTGATGTTTCATTGTAGGTTTGATTTGCATTTTCCTGATGATTAATCATGTTGAGCATCCTTTCATGTGTCTATTGGCCATCTGTCTGTCTTGTTTGGAAAAATATTTATTCAGATCCTCTGCACAATTTTTATATTAAATTGTTTGGGTTTTTTTTTAAGTTAATCAAAAAGTGATGTTAATCATCTTTTTATTTTTCCTAAAAAAACTATTTGAAATATTTATTCAACTCGATAGACATGAGTTTGAGTAAACTCTGGGAGTTGGTGATGGACAGGGAATCCTGGCGTGCTGCAGTCCATGGGGTTGCAAAGAGTCGGCTGAACTATTTATCTGGCTTCACAAGGCCAGAGTTGTGGCACATGGGACTTAGTTGCTGCGTGCAAATTGTTAGTTGCGGCATGTCGGGTCTAGTTCCCAGACCAGGGATGGAACCAAGGCCCCTTGCATTAGGAGCATGGAGTCTTAGGCACTGGGCCACCAGGGAAGTCCCCATCTTTCTTACTTGGTAGTTACTTTGTTCTGTTTTCTGTTGATTTGTTTGTTTCTTGACTTATAAACAAAACACTGTTTAGGCCACTCGTATGTAAAATTAATAAACAGAAACTTCAGTTAAATAGAGTTAGGAGAGCAGAAGGGGGACCCTCATGCCCTGTGAAGACAGCAGACCCCACCAAGAAGAAGAAAGATGCCTCTTCTTTTCTGGCAAGGACTCAGCCAGTGAGAATTCATGGACTCTTCAGCCTTCCCAACTTCCTTTTCCTTGCTATAAAAGTGGTCTCCTTCCCTTCTTGAGGGGGAAACTTACACATGGGAAGCTGTGGTTGCAGGCCTGAAATTGCACTTCTCTGCTGATTCCAATGGAGAGGGAAATGGCAGCCCACTCCAGTATTCTTGCCTGGAGAATCCCATGGACAGGGGAGCCTGCTGGGCTACAGTCCATGGGGTCACAGGGAGTCAGACACAACTGAAGTGACTTAGCACTCACGCACACTGATTCCAAATAAACTCATCTTTGCTGGAGAAATACCTAGTATTTGACTTTTTTTAGGTCTGCACAAAAACTGTAAGTAGAGAGTAAATCTCTGATACTTAGAAAATAAAAAAAAAAATCCCATATAGAAAAGCAAATAAGCTGGGGAGGGAGGTGGGAGGGGGGTTCAGGATGGGAACCACATGTAAATCCATGGCTGATTCACGTCAATGTATGGCAAAAACCACTACAATATTGTAAAATAATTAGCCTCCAAATAATAAAAATAAATGAAAAAAAAAGAAAGAAAAGCAAATAACTGATTTCAATGTACAGATTTTATGTATTAAATGTGTATCCAAAGAATTAATTTTACTAGTACCTGGCACTTCTGAAAGCATTCTTTTAGAAGACAGGAAGTCTTTTAAGAGACAAAAACATGGTTTATAAGGCATTCTCTTTGAAGACAGATGAATGCCTATGTTTTTACCAAAGTCCAAAGATGAAAAACAAACCAAGCCAAAATGTGTCACAGAAACATCATTTTAGGTGTAGTATAAGGAATAAAGAGTAGGTATGACTGAATAATACAGTGAACTTTCTCTCCAATATTTCTAGTTGTTAGTCCCTGGACAATGTGAATAGACACTGAATAGTGTATAAATTGGTGGGGGGCGGAGGGGGAAAGACTGGATAAGAAAGGAGAGTAGATTTACCTCAATATATATTTTAAATCTAGGCATCCTTGGAGGCAGTAATGATCTTCTCTGGAGAAAAGTTCATTAAGTTATGCTCAGAAAGTCTTCTAGGAACAACACTTGGCCTTAACTCCCTTCTCTGCTGACATTTGCTATATTATCTGATCTATCCTTCTAAGGGAGTTTTGTTTTCTTCCTCCTCTCCCTGTGTATGTGATCTCTTTATCTGTTAGGTTTAACCATTTTGATCTACAAACACCAGTACTTTCATATATCACAACCTAGTAATTTATCAGGAACCATGTTACATATATAACATTGTATATTTATATTTCTAAACTTACTTCATTTCTTTCAATTTAAATTCTTGTAGAAGAGTTGTTTGTAAATTGCATTACAAATTTTAATAAATAATCAAGTTTATTCATATTATTTAGGATCCAGTTAACTGACCAGGCAGACATAGAACACCACTGGGAGGAGGGTGGGTTACCCAAGTTGTTTTGCTTCTTGAGTTATAAAAAAAATTACTTAGAGTAATCATGACATAAATAATCACCTGCAGAAGGAACTGGAAACCTTATATATTTCATACATAGATGGAAAGCTATAACCAACAAAAATTCTTATTGTAGCTTATAATAATCTTCAAAACAACAGATTGATTCAATATTAATATCTGGACTCAGTCAACACATAACAGAATCTTTGGTAGTAAATCTGGAAAAAAGAAGCCACTTCCTTTCTTTCCTTCATTCTTTTATTCATTCAGTTGACATTTGTTATTTGCTTTTCTTGGGCTTCCCAGGTGGCACTAGTGGTAAAGAACCCTCTTGCCAATGCAAGAGACATAGGAGACGTGGGTTTGATCCCTGGGTAGGGAAGATTCCCTGGAGGAGGGCATGGCAACCCACTCCACTATTCTTGCCTGGAGAATCCCATGGACAGAGGATCCTGGCAGGCTACAGTCCACTGGGGTCACAAAAGAGTGGAACACAACTGAAGTGACTGCCTTTCTCATGCCTCGCACTATTCTATGAGTTGGGTTTACACTCATGTATAAGACAGGACTGTTCCCTTCTGTCACGGAATTCACATTCTCTTCTAACCATTACTGCCACTAGGAAGAGTGAGAATATTCTAAATACCCATACAAATGCCTGCATAATGCTCTTCTGCTGGTCTTTTTCAAATTTGTGTTGGGACGATCCCTTGGAGAAGGGAACGACTACCCACTCCAGTGTTCTGGCCTGGAGAATTCCATGGGCTGGGGTCACAGAGAGTCAGTCGTGACAGAGCAACTTAAAAAAAAAATCTTAATTTACCTGACTGGAATTAGAAGAATAGTTGTAAAAAGCATATTGAACTTGGTATACTTTCATACAATCTGGATTCTATAATTCATTAAAAAATTTTTGAAATGAAAATTTAATAGTAATATTACTATTTGCAGCTTGACTCTACATGTACATTCTGCCTCGTGTTTATTAAAAGAACTCTGATTATTCCCAGATCTTCTGGCTAAAAAGAAATTGGTTCAGTGATTCTCAACCAGGGGTGATTTTGCCTTACTCCACACACCGCTCTTGCTTCTCTTCTTTGGCACCGAAGGACATTTGGCAATGACTGGAGACATATCTTGTGGTCACTACCAGCATCTGGTGTATACAGGTCAAGGTTGCTACCAAACATCCTCCATAGCACAGTGTAGCTCATACTCTCCTCCCTCTAAACAGAAACAAAAACTTTCCTCCCCAAGTTATCATTACTGCTGAGGCTGAGAAATCCTGCTCTCTCCTTTATTACAGATTATTCCATTCTCATGTTATTTTCCCTCTGTCTCCACACCTCAGTTTGAAAAGTTTAATTCCATTGGCTTATCCAACCATTCATTTATTTATATCTCTCCCAAAACCACTGCCAAGACATTGTGGGGGATACAAAAACACAGAAAATAGGATGTCTGATATTTGATTTCTATCTGATTGCAAGAATCTACCTTACAGCTAACTGGAGAATGACTCAGCTTTCTGAAAAGGATGAGCGACCAATTAAAACATTCCTTTGGGTGATGATAACAGGACATCTTTTGTGCACTCTGCTCATCACTCCGATTCTCTCTAGCCTAGGATGAATGCCATTTTGCCTGGTAGAAGTCTGGTTCTAAATTCTCTAGCAAATAAAAATGCAGTTCTATTGTTCAAATTGCATGAAAGGCAGAACCACGTGGGGGAGAGAAGAACAGGAAAATACAATCCTTTGTAATCATAATGTGGGGAATGTGGGGCTTGATAACAGGTTACAAAATAGATTTCTTAATCTAAAATGATAAAATTTCCTGAAGAGGGGCAAGCTGATACCTAAGATCATGAACAAATAAGGCAATATTTATTCTCATTGTTTACCCTGGGATAGATTGAAACAGTAGCCCTTCCTTGTCTGCCGTTTATCATGTTTACCCTTTGACAATACACAGATCTTCCTTATCGGCAATGAAATGGCGATGAGTCAAATCAAGAAGAGAAAATAACATCGGAATTGTGTAATAACTGAACAGTCAAATATATGTGTTCTTTGTATTCATCTAAGAAAATATAGGGATGCAGAAAAGTTAAGCATGAAACAAAGTGAAGTTACTGTGTTTTTCCATCATCAATCACAACACACATACACTCCATGTATGAATGTATACACACATATGTATATTCAGTATTATCCAGAAACACCCATGTAATGAAGAGGTACCCTGCTTGTCTTTTCTTTAAAGAGCTGATTACGTGGTTCATTGTAGAGCAGTGTACTATTTGCTGTTATCCTCAATTTTCCTGATGATTCACCTAGAATATGGCTATCTATCTAGAAACAGCTAAAAGTAACGGAACAATTTAGAAAACCCACTGAGCTAAAGTTGCACAGCATGAACTAAAAGAAGGGAGGAAGATGGGTGACTCAGGGGATTCTTAATGGAATTTTAAACCTTTCCTTTACATGCTCCCTCAGCTTATGGATGAGGTGCCCTTGGATACTTGCAAAGTGCGTCTTTGGACAATTATTACTTCACATTGGGGGCGGTAGTTAGCAGGTATGGTGTTTCAGGAGACAGGCAGGACTTGAGCCCAGATTTCTCACTCGAGGTTTCTGGTATGTAGACATTTGGTGTGACTAAGGGGCTGCTACAGTATTTGCAGTGACCCTTCCCACCCTGGGAGGCCCGTTCCAGTGCTGACAAGCTCCTCACTGAATCAGCCCCAGGGTCCGAAGGAGGTTCTAAGACTCCACTGAAACACTGAAGGATCAAACGATTCCTCCCCAAGCAGCTTGCATCCCTAGGGAAGTGTCTGAAAAATGTAACTCACACCCCCATCCCCTGCCCCCGCAGTCACACAGGAGAATCTTCCAGACTGGGAACTAACCCAGTACAGGGGTCATCATTTCCTATGAGCTCCCCACCTCCAAACAGCTCTCCAATTCATATCACAGCATTTGAGTGATCACATGATCTGGAATGGCTTGTGTGTGCTGCGCTTAGTCGGTCAGCCATGTCTGACTCTTTGAGCCCGTGGACTGTAGCCTGCCAGGCTCCTTTGTCCATGGGATTCTCCAGGCAAGAATCCTGGAGTGGGTTGCCGTTGCCCTCCTCCAGGGCTGGAATGGTGTGCACATTTCAGAATCTGAAATGAGGATACTGGGTAATTTTCCTAAAAGAGATAATTATAAAAATTAGTGCAAAGCTTCCCCTTAAGCCCATACTTACCTCTGGGTTTCCTAGCCTCTGCCAACGAAAACTGATGGCACATGCCATCTGCCTCTCCAAGGATTAAATCATGTGCCACTACATCTCCTGAAAGGAGTTCAGGGTAGAGGTCAGGAATGAGGTGCACTGTGTTCTGGGAAAAACTGGCAGAACAGGCCTTCAGATAGTCAAATTTTTTTTAGAAGAAGACTTTTATGAGCCCAATTCTTGCATCTCCTCATATCTAGAAAAGCACTAAAATTATTAGCAGTGACATCTACTGCTGGTGATCCGGAGCAAGACTCTGCCAAAATGCCTGCTTGACGGCACATACCCCTCTTCACTAAACTCCTATATAACACTGATCTTCCCCTATATCTCTTTGGGGCTAGTACCTCAAAGTTATTTGAGATGCTGTCTCTAGGGCAATAGCCCTCATAAAACTTAAATCACAGCTCTTATGTTGTGCATTTTTTCAGTTGACATATCCCAGAGAAAAGATGCTGTTTCCAGTTTAGTGTTGCTATTATAGGGACAAATTCTCTCTGAATTAATCATGACCATGGACCTCAAGTGGGCCCAGCAGCGAAAATAAGACCAAGAAGGAGAAGATTCTGGAGAGGTCCATGAGAAGCTATGGCCCCTGTGTAGTTACCCCTTCTGTAGGGTCCGGGGCCAATACCTGGTGGTAAGTCCAGGGTCTCTGTTGGCCAGCAGGCCAGCAGGAAAGAAGACAAGCTTGAGGCAGTGTGGAGGAGAGGAAAAGCAAGTTACATTGATCTATCCTATCTCAGAGCAATGACTCTCTGAGGAGACAAGCCACTGTCTTCTTCACCTGGAACTAAACAGAGATGAGAATCTAGGAAAGGGAGCTCCCAGCTTAACTGTGTTAACAATAAAACACTCAGCAAGAGATGACAGTCAAGCTCGAGAAAGACTGAAAATGAATCATCGGATAAACAATGGTGACCATGGCAAAAGCGAAATGGTGGCAGAATGGGAACAACAGATTTCTTTGGCTTTGGTTTATAAGAGATCAGTTGGAAAATATTTTGAGAAGTTTTACTGGAGAGAGAGGCAAGGACATGTAGTAGGAGCTGGGTAAGAAGTGGGGCTAGGGGACATTTGTTTACATTGGAAGAAGAATAGTGTATTTGTACGCTAATGAGAATGATCTAATAGAGAGTGTGCATTTGATGTTGCAAAGTAAGGGGCGAATTGCTGGAGCAATGGGTTTGGATAGAAGAGAAGAGAAAGTCTTCCCTCGCGGTCCAGTAGTTAAGACTCCATGCTTCCAATGCAGGGGTTGCATGCTAACTCCCTCGTTAGAGAACCAAGATCTTGCATGCCTCATGCAAGGGCAAACAATAAAAAGTAAATAAGATAACTATAAAAATAATTTTAAAATGAAAAAGAAGAGAGAGGACCCAGGACTCTAGAGGCATGGCTTCTGGAGAAGGGTGAAGGATCTTGGACCTGCTCACCACCTCCATGGCCACCTCCATTGCCATCAGCCTGTCCAAGCCATCATGGTCTCCCTCCAGGGTGACAGCAACAGCTCCTAAGTAGTCTCACTGTTTCTTCTGCTTGCTGAGTCAGTGCTCAGTTGCTCAGTCATGTCTGACTCTTTGTGGCCCCACAAACTTTAGCCCGCCAGGTTCCTCTGTCCATAGGATTTCCCAGGCAAGAATATTAGGGTAGGTTGCCATGCCCTCCTCCAGGGGATCTTCCTGAGCCAGGGATTGAACCTGCATCTCCTGCATTGCAGGTAGATTCTTTGTCATTGAGCTATTGAGATGCTTCAGCATCTTCTCCACCTATAAAGTCTTCTCAGCACAGCATTCAGAGTGATCCTTTTAAAATGTAGGTAATACCAGGCCAGGCCTGTGCTCCAAACCCTGTAATGGACCTTGCCTCACCAGGAAAGAAGTCAAAAGTCTTTGTAAGGTACCTGGGGAATCTGGTTCTTCATTATGTCTATAATTAATCAACCAACCTCTCTCTCTCTTTTCTGAACCCCTTGACTTCTCCTGGAAATCTCAGAATATGCCCCCACTGTCCCGCAGTCAAGGACCTTTGCTCTAGCTTTTGCCTCTGCCAGGGACACTCCTGTCCCAGACATCCCGCTATTTGACTTTCTCTCTTCCACTTTTTGTCCACATCTCAACTTCTCACTGACCTTAAAATTACAAACTTCGTCCCACCTTCTTATCCTCTTATTGTGCTCTCCTTTTTCTTTTTCCCACAAATACCTACTACCTTCTAAAGACAATGTAGTTCACTTTCCTTCTATTTGCAGCATGCTGTCTCTTCTCCGGATAGAGTGTGGATTCCATGAGGGTCATATTTCATTAGTGTATCTCCAGCTCCTAGAACTGTGCCTAAAACATAGTATTCAGGAGATATTTGTAGGATGAATTAACAAATTTATCTAACAGAAAGACCTAGTGAGCTCTCTGAAGATTTATGAATGAGAAATCAGAAACTGCCTCTCTGTGCCAGGTAAATATATTCCTCTCTGTAAATCTCATCAGGGGTGTGTCTGCTAACCTGCCACAAATTAATTTGAAAGCTAAAAGGAGTGTATGATATTTTTATCTACCTCTTTTGCATTCAATGAAAAGCATATTCATCAATTACATACTTGTAATAACTGTCACAGGTGCTCAGCAGTTACAGGTTTATCATTTCATTCAGTTAAACCTCACCAACAATGTGAGATGGGTACTATCATCCTCATTTAACTGGTAAAGGAAATGAAAATCAGAAGACTTAAGTGGCTTGCTCAAATCCTTACAAAATTAGTAAATGGGAAGGGGCAAATCTTAATTACAGACTTTCTTTACCTTCCATTGGAGATGCATCCTGACCATGGAGAAATATCACATGTTGCATCAGATATGGTTATTTTAATGTTGAAGGAATTTATAACTTTCATATTGGTGTTTCAGAGGCTTCATATCAAATTTTAACTAAATATCTATATCCGTTCATCTATTTATGTATCTTTATAGCTATATATATGGGCTTCCCGCATGGCACAGTGGTAAAAGAATCCACCTGCCAATGTGGGAGATACAGGAGATGTGGGTTGGATCCCTGGGTTGGGGAGATCCCCTTGCCCCAGGTTGACAGCAGACTGAGCCACACTGTGAATCTGGAAAGTCTAAGAGCACAGTCAATGTCCTCACCATCAGAACATGCATTTTCCTGCCTTCATTAATGAGAATCAGTTTGACTTTCTTAATCAGATCATATTTAGAGGAAAAGAAATACTTTCTGACCTACTGTGCTTCATCCCTAAAGAAAGATAAGCCGTTTCGTAAAGTGCCTCTGACTGGTAATGACCAAACCTGCTGTCCCGTGTGGGGCTGATGCAAAATTTCCACAGCAGTGCGGTTACTGAGGCCACCGTGAGCCAGCCCCGTGTCTGCTGTAACTGCCCTGTCTTCATACATAACCCTCCTTGGCTCCCCAGACCGGCCACCATCAACCCAATTCCTGGAGCCCGAGGTGACATACCAGCATTATAGGTTAAAAGATGGACGTTTTCATAGGAATCGTCTTATTTCAAAATGAAGTTAACATGTCTTCATTGGTTAAAACATTTTCTGGAATAGAAGGGTGTGAAGACACCATGCTATAATTGCAGGTTCAGAATGTAGGTATGTCCATGTGAAGAGACAGGCATCTAGGAAACCAACCCGCTTTAACTATGCTCCAGAAAGCTCTCCACACTCTGAACCAGAGCAGAATTTCATAGTTTAGGATCTAAGCTTCTGTGGCCCTCAAAGAGCTAGGTAATTATATTCATTGTTTCTCTTTAGAGAATGGAGAAAAACACTACTATTATTTTTAAGGGATCAAAAATGCATATAATCACGTTTCTGGGGGCTTTTCTACCAATTTGTGATACAGACATTCTGCATTTATCAAAATGTACCAATAATAAGAAGGGCCAGGCAGGTTTCTCTCATTTAACGGAATGAAATTAGGATAGATAAAACTAACATAATAATTATCCTAAAACCAGGACAAATCCATTCACTGAATAGTTTCTTTCTAAATGTTGTCCGATTTTTATTGGGCTGACTTCTACTAAACTCCCACTAGACTCATTTTTATTTCTTTTAAACATTGGTCATTTATTTATTTAACTAACACAAACACTTTACTGAACATCTACGTACTAGAAACTGTACTAGCTGTCAGGGAGAAAGACCAGTTTGGTCCAGTTCCCATGCTGCAGGCACTCATGGTCTCACGGCAAAAGAATTCCCAAATAGGTCCTTACACTTTTGTGATAATCACAATGAGAGGGATAGTCATACAAGACCCTGTGTCTTGTTGGATTGTTTTAAACCAGATCATTTCCTCTGCATACAAAAGTAAATCAGAAATAGAAATGCTATGATATTGTGTGCAAAATTGTTTACCAAATCTACAATGCATATAGCCATGCCATGATTAACTCAATTACAGATAAATTTTGAAATGGAATAGTTTCAACTTTAAAAAAGCATCCAGGCATTGCATACAAGGTATGGGGCCACAGGTCAGGAAGCAACAGTTAGAACTGGACATGAAACAACAGACTGGTTCCAAATAGGAAAAGGAGCACGTCAAGGCTGTATATTGTCACCCTGCTTATTTAACTTATATGCAGAGTACATCATGNAATTGAAAAGACCCTGATGCTGGGAAAGATTGAGGGCAGGAGGAAAAGGGGATGACAGAGGATGAGATGGTTGGATGGCATCACCAACACAATGGACATGGGTTTGGGTGGACTCCGG